GGGCTCGGACGCCAAGGCGCCTGACACCGGTCGATCTTCCGCAGTGGTCGGCATCCAGATGGTCAGTACTTTGTAGTATCAGCTTCTTGTCTTCACACACGGCTTGGCTATCGCAAACTTTTCTAGCTGCACTGCCCTGTCTGTCCTGAGTCTCGAGCGTTTACCTGCCTGAATAGGTACATACGATACAAAATGCTGACACCTGTCTCAATCCACTGACACACTTGATCTCCCTATAGGATTCGTGAGTAGTTTCTGACCCGTCCGTAAACCATCTTGTCTGTCGCCTTGTCTTCTACAGTCATACAGTACCCGATCGCTCGCAGTACAGTAGATTACGCCACAGACGGACCGCATCACCACTCTGCTTTCCAGGATATCACGTAGCACTGGGTTTTCTCGTTGATGGCAGTACGCTTACACAGATGACTTGTTCCAGCGGCAAGGAAAGCAGCGGCGGTACTGCCCCAGGACCGGGAAGCGAGGACAAGACTAATTGGATTTGAAGTCCTCTAGTGGACTCTACCACCGAGCCTTTGGATGACTAGCTACTGTGGCTCCAACCGGATCCTTTGCTTGACCGTTTATATATACTGGTGTTGGATAAGTTTCAGTCGATGTTCCGATTGGGGAAGGAGAGCTCGAACTCGAGCAAGGTCGGAGCAGATAGTACTCTAGAGTCAAAGGATGATCACATGCAGATAGCTCTAAATCGAACAGGTCTCCATCGCCAGGGTACCGTCGATGTTGTGTTCAGCCTCGAGATTCTGATTTGACTGTTGTCGCTGACAGCAGAAGATGGCTACTGACGATAAGCGATACATGGTGTTACAAGCAAGTATGAATCTATCCGTTGTGTAAGGTATGGAACATTCGGCTAATTCGATGAAGTGTGTGAAGTGATGGGTCCAGCCCTTTCACCATGATCCGTCGTCCACCTCAGCTAGAAGTGCGTCGATCGTTACAATGTTTTGTTTGAATCTCGGCGATTATCCTCGCTTAAAAGCCCGGCCCGCCGGGTTTGAAGCCAAGATCGTAGATGTTCTTCTCGAAATCCTTCAGGTTCTCGTCATCTCTCCATTGAACCACCTCGATCGGGCTCGATCCCCAGTCCGGATAGATGGTGCCAACATGATCGCCGTTCGAGTCCTTCTGGCCCTCTGCCTCATCTGCTTGCGCCGCATCTTTCGGCTGAGACTCATCGTCGGAAGTGGAAGATGAACCTGAGTCTGATGACAGAGCGGATGCTGCCAATGCGGCTTGCTCTTCCAGCAATGCCTTTCGAGCGGCATCTTCTTCTTTCCTTTCTTCCGGTCTAGGGTCAATGTAGTCGAGGTCGATACTGCAGGAGGGAAAGTCAAGTCAGCGTACTTGATGGCAATAGGAGGAGACTACGGACGACTTACCACAGGGCTGAGATCCAACCGCCATGGTATCGAACTTTGATGCCCCTCTCTCTGGCCGCACGACGCATAATCATCTCCTTTGCCTCGGCTCTCGCTCGACCATGCTCATCAGCGTCCGCAAGCATATCGCAGTCCGTGTCTCCCAATCCGGGCTTATCGTCATCAGAAGGCTTGTACTCCGGCTCACCGAGTCTTGCGGTAGCGGGGGTGGCGGGCCAAGTGTTAAACAGCGGCATCTGCTTGGTTCGGCCCCATGAATAACCTCTGCCTACACCTGATGGGATTTGTTTCAAGAGATTGTAATGCACGAATAGCGGTTCTCCCCATGAGTCGTGCTGGAGCATCGTATGGGCACAGAAGTCTCCGGAAGCGGTACCGGACGGTAAGGCTGCGGCACCGACCCATCGACCGGGTACAGCCCATCGTTTTCGCAGTGCAAGCAATGCCCACCGGAAGATATCTTTGTCGCCATCGGAGAAGTAGAACCACTGCACGTACGTAAAGTGAAGGAGAGAATGGGTCTGATCAGCTTCTGCCACCAAATCATTCAAACAAGCCTGACTGTCTTCCTGATAAAAAGCTGCTTTGTTACCGCGGCCACTCACGAAGTCATGTCGTTCCAGCATGTACTGGATGAGCAAGAACACATCGAGATGCATCTTCTTATCGACAAACATCTGGCCGGTCTCCATCTCCCACTCGTTCCTGCACTTGACACCCATGATTGCCCAGATGGGGTTGTTGGCCGACGTCTTCCAGTAGTCGGGCGTAGCGAAGATGCCTAGTCTCTTATAGTTGGGGGCGTCGAACATATATTCTGGATCCCGGGTGGGTATGGAGTCGGAGTCCTGCATGGGGTCGCAGCCAAAGCGATGTACCAGTCAGCTTCGGTCGACGACAAAGGCAGTGCCGGAGTTGAGATTAAGGACTGATCGTGTGCTTTTCTTGTGTTGTGATCGCATAGTTCTACTCACGAGATATAGTACCTCTCTGAAAGGGCTTTGCACCACAGCAATGGCCTTGAGGTGATAACTCTTGGTCTTGCCTTTATCCTTCTCTTGACCAGCGGCTTCCACAAGCTCTGCTCCGAGATCCTGTAGCTCGGTTCGAAGAGGGGAATCATCCGCCGGCCTTTCGCTGGGGAAGTGATACTGATCGATCCGATATCCGAAGTCAGTGTCAGCTCACCATCCGCCGCTTGGCTCACTGTTTAGCAAATTCGTTGTCATGCTTACAATCTGAACAGGCAGCGTGGACCCGTAACTCCTCAGCATTTGCAAGCTCCATTTCACCCTTGTGAGGGTATCCGCATTTCCAGCAACCATGACAATACCTCTCCCTTCGCCATACTGTTCCGTCAGCCCTTCCGCCAGTACGTGCTCCATATGGTCTATCAGATCCATCCTGTATTGATGCAAGCTCGTACGGTTCACACTGGCCCATACATTTGCGGAATGTTGAATCATGTGCGTGTTGTGCTGCTCAGAAATTGTGTCGCATTGCTATTCGGAATGAGTTCGTTGTCAGTAGTAGCCACAGATGAGGGCAGAAGGTTTTTGTCGAAGTGAGACCACAATGAACATACCTCCAGACTCCATTGCACGAAACCACCATGTTCGATCTCTCCCTTGATTTCTCCCCGACCACCTGGAGCGTTCTTCCAGACGTCCAGTCGCTCTCGCAAGGTAGCCTCTACCGGCAACGAGTCGGAGGAGATGTCGATCTCTCTGAGCCCTTTTGAGCCGCCACCTGGGGGCTGTGTGCCAGTGCGTACACCGGTCACATCGCTGGATGGTAGGAAGGAAGGGAACTTGAATGGTCGGCCAGATACTTTGGGTAGCCTCGCCGCAGCGGCTGACGAAGCAAAATCACTTCCCGAAGTGGAGACTCGTGGGGCAGCGAACTGGAGTAATGTGGTCAGTGCGATATCGTTACCACTAAAGCGGAAGACGGCAACTCACTCTTGTGCTTCCCTGATGAAGCGTCAAAAGAGCCAATGCTAACACAAGAGTCAAGACTGCCACTCGCTTGACCATACCGCCCGGCAGCCCATTCCGCCATGCCATCCTCATTCGTTTCAGCCTAGACGTATGACTCGACGGGAAAGGATAGCTCCCTCTACCTTTCTCCAACATGGCAGGACTGGGCGGTAAGAGCGGAGTCTGGGAATCTATCTCGCCCTCTCCCTTGGAAGAGGTATCGGATGTCGATGGCAGGGGCGAGAGCTGTTGTGATGATGAAGAGGAGTGGTGGGCGTTCGGGTCGTAGGGCGAGCTGAAGAATGGGGACGTCTTTTCGGATATGGGGATATGCAGTTTCGGTTTCGGTGTGAAGGAGGGCATACTGACAAAGTTTTCGTGTTGCTATAGCGCGGTATGCCAAAGGTATGGGAAGATTTGCAATACCTCGTCACCTCTTAAGAGGCTGTCGTTTATAGTTTTCGGTCACTGATAGACTGTTCCTTCGTCTGCAAAATCTGCGATCTTGTCGTGGCTGGGCAGTCCGCACAGTGTTGACAGTGACGAGTACACGTCGAGAATGACCGCTGACAGAAGTGAATTATCGTCACAGAGTACGCCGGAGTCAGCTTAGCCAAATCTCTTCTACACAAAGCTGTGACACTCTGCGGCAGGACTTTCACTGCGCGACTATGCATTGTTCGGTGTAACCCAACAATCTTCTCCCCTCATACTACTGGACTGTTTCATAGGAACGGTCGCAGCGTTTCGCATTGCGCAACTCCGCAGCCACACAAAAACAGATCTCAATGTCCAAAAGGATGGACAGTTGTACACTTACCGAATGACTGACTACCGGTGCTGTTACCACACTGGAATCAGGGGTTGATGTTCTGTTCTCAGCAGATCAGGTTCGCTTTTGATGGTCCAACAGTCGTTTGTCGTTAACTGGTTCGTTTCTGTGCTCAGACCGAAGTCAAGTGTGTCAAGTGCGAAGGGATGCTATTCTGTATGTATGAATGTGTGTGCAAGGATGCATGCAGACGTCAACAGATCGAGCCTTTCGCATCTCGTTTGATTCCTGCTTTGCAATTGCATCCCAAAGCGCCGTAGTCACAGTCTGAGCTATTGTCACCGCAGTCGTCATGCAATCATGCTTATCGCAGCAGCAGCAGCAGCAGGTTTCAAAACAAAGCGCAATTCCAAAGATAGCTCTATGAAAATCGCAGTTAAGTTTCTTCGCCCCCATGATGACGATGACGCTGATCGCAGTCCAATCGGATTTTCTGGGAATGACCCTGAATCCGCAATTACGCTCTCCTTCTTTCGTGCGTGCGTAGCCTGGAGTCTGGACCTAGACCCTTTTGGATGCCTGGGAGACGTACCTGTTCTTCGTATACCGCGCGACGAACCAACAAAAATACACACACACACACACACACACACACACACACACACACAGAGCTCGTCTTTCGGGGTCCTTTGACAGGGATGATGGTACCTGCCGATCGTTCGTAAGGACCTTCCTCTTTTCTCGACTCAAAGTCAAGCGTTTTCGATGATTTCGAGCTCGAATTCAGCAGTAAAAGAGAGAGAAATACGGCAACAAGAGGCCCGCAGCGTGTAGCAAAAGGAGTGACCCAACACGGGATCGAACCGTGGACCTGTAGTGATCGCTTCCGTTGAAGGAAAAGAAAGTGAAACTATCGCTCTACCACTGAGCTATTAGGCCTGGTCTCTCTGGCTCGTTTGCACGATATCACCTGAAATTTCTTTTGGCGGAGCCTGGCGTCCGTATGGCATGCCTGACAGCTCCGCGGGAGAGCGATGAAGTAGCGCCCTCAGACTCCGGTGCTATGAAGGTTCACTGCGCGTTATCCAAGGCAACTATCACTGAGCTATTAGGCCAACAACCCATCATTTTTTAGTGTTTTTTCTTACATAACTCAGTATATGTGAACATGCATGCATTGTGCTGAGGTTCTGTATTTGAAAGTCTGGCAATAAGTCATGCCATAGTGCGCTAATGTATCTATTCTACCAGATTTTCCCAGGTACCTAAAATCACCAGCTCAAGCTCCACGCCGTCCGTTGCGCCTACTGACCACTTCCAGGAAAGTCAAAAGGTCCACGACCGCTCTCAACAGGTCGAATGACACTCCACTCGAATCAAGCCAAGCCCGAGTAATCGTCTCATACCTGAACACCAGCAACTAATAATGACGGAGAAGGGAACGGTGTGGAACATCATCCCGCTACACGCGTAAAGCACGGCTCAAGCCCTTAACGGGCGAGCGGGTGCTTAAAGCGGAGTCTATGGGAGTATCTGTTCCGCCCCTTTCCAATCGTCTATCGATTGATAGCAACTGATTAATCAGATGATGAAAGGGATGACCCAGGTTGGTAGAATCTTCGCGTTGTGTACATTGATCTGTAGTCAAGAAGCCGTTTTCCTTCGCTCACCCCGGATTGATGGCAGCTTTCGCAGAACTATGGAGACATGTGAGCCGGGAGGGGTCAACCCGACGAGGTGTATACGAGGCGACAAGCGTTTCGTGCGCCGGTAACCATAAATAGATAGCACCGTAACAATCACAGTGGCGGATCAGACGATCGTCGAGCCGAGTGTCCTTGTGTCTATGTCGACCGAATCTCGAGTTGATTCGATGTCGATCGCTTTGGAGTCGATCGATTTTACTTCTTCCGTTTCCTTCTATAGTACCGCGTATCCCTGCCCTGTGCACCGTCTGTCTTCAGACCCTGACTTCCGAGTTTCCGAACCAATCCATACCCAGAACGTCCGACCTGTCCCCTTGCTGCTCTTCCTGCCTCACGTTCCTGCCCTCAATATCCTCAATTAGAGATCTCATCGCCTCGTCCCAGCTCTCAGCCTGGGCCGGCACTTGTCCTGTCCCAGTACCGTGGCTGACCTCGATCTCCCAGTCCATCGGCTGCGAGTGGCCGAACAACCCCTCAAATGCTTGAGGGATGTTGACGTTGTAGTCCATCCTCGCTGCTTGGCCAACGCTACCACTAATCTCGCCACCAACGCTAGCCTTGTTTGATCCACTACCAGACGCTGAGACTGGGCCTGGGACACCGTTCGGCCCGCCGAAGATGACATCAAGGTATTCCCCCTCGCCCGCTGCAGGGCCAATCTATGCCTCAGAGAAGAGACAGTAGAGTTGGTCGCCACCGCTGCTGGGTGGCGAGCGACGGGGTTCGATGTTGCTTCGACAATCGAAGATGACACAGGTGTCTGGCCGGTAGGTAAGATTGACTGTGTGACAGTATGCGTTTCAGGTGCGTCGGCAAGTGTAGCAGGGTAGTAAGGCGGTGAGAGTGTTACCTCGAGACCGGGTGCCGCAGATGCCGTGGTTGAACTGACATGAGGTACCGAGAGGAAAGCCGCCCAGTCGATGTTGCTGTTGTTGGTGGGTGAGACGAGTTCTTGTTGGTGTTCGACAGCAGTTGAGGTGGCCGATGCCGGTGCTGAAGAGCTTTCGTGGATGCCACTGAGGTTGGCGACAGCTACGACCTGTTTGACAAGGGTCTCGAGGAGCGACACTCGTTCTCGCAGAGCCGCGTTTTCAGCTTGGAGCCTGTCGGCAGGGTTGATTGAAGCTGAAGCGACAGTGAGGGGGGTGGCTGGAGCGATGGTGGGAGTGATAGCCTTCAGCTCGACATCCTCAGGTCCAGGTGATTGAGGGATGACTGGCTTGATGTCCTCGAGATGCAGGTCAGCTGGAGGCGGAGCAACACTGGAAAGTTTCACGCCGGTACCGCTAACGAGCTCGGTAGGGATACCGAGATCATTGGCGAGGGAGATGACGCTCTGGGCGGGTGAGGCTTCTCTCGCTGATGGTGAGCCTAATGCTGTGCCGGACATGGATGGTGAGAAAGCCGATGCAGGTGCATCACCTCGGAGTGTTCGGTTCTCAGCTTCCAGTTCGACCACACGGGCTTCCAGGTATGCCAAGTGTGCTTTACGTTGATTACGTGAACGTTGAGCTGATTCTCGATTACGGATGGTCTGGATGCATGAGGAGTGAGTCAAACAAACGCTAATTAGTATTTGGCGCCATACATGACACAAAAGTCAAAGCTTATACCCGCAAAGGGTATCTATCTGTCTCGCGCGCGCGTCTTTGTGTGAATTGTCGATTCAATTGACAAGATTTGAATGGACAAAGGAGGGCAAGTGAGGCGTAACGATGGTGACGATGCGCGGAGCTGAGTGACTTACACGGGCCTCCTTTCTCGCAATCTTGGCTCGAGCCTCTTCGTCTATGTCTAGTATTTCTCCGTTTTCGCCCAGCGTAACACCAGACCGATCACCCTCTTCTTCGCCTCGGTCCGCATCTTCGTCGGCGTCGCCATCGACAGATTCCGATGGCTTGGAAGGTCGAGGACGTTTGGCCGAGGTTGGTTCGGGGGTTGAAGCAGTTGAGGGTGCTGGTCGTTTGGATGATGAGGCAACGGCGTTGACGCAAGTCATGATGGTGTTAGTTGAGTGAGTGGTGAAGTAAGAGATATGTAGGGTCAGAAAGGTCAACTACAACGAAATGTGAACTAGGTATATAAGTCAAATGGCCAAAATGAACAAGCTATGCAACGGGTTAAGGTAGATCAACTATGAAACGGCAGAGCTGTACAACGAAAACAAAGAAGTGGTGAATGGGGGTATGGGTATTCTATGGTGGCAATAGTCAAAGTGGTTGAATGAAAGAAAGATGGAGAAGAATGAGCTATAGAGGGGGGATCGACGTGGAATATATGAGGAATCGACGTGGAAGGTGCGGTCACCACTGTAGCGCTACGACGGTATGTATGCACGGTGCACCTGAACTGTGTAAACCGTGTACACCGTATACCGTATATACCGTATGTATGGCGGTGTAAGCTGATTGTAAGCTGTGAGTGTTTCAGGGTATCCGTTCAATAGAGTTGTATTGTGGTGCGGTGCAATCATATCCATCCCTTTCCCTTTGTTCTCGGCCCTACCTGTGTGTATGTACCGCAGCTGCATCCCGCCATATCCCACCATATACAGCAACCGCACTCACCGTCGAGTCGGGTGCCTTCCATGGAACGCCTCCGTATCAGATACCGCTGATCCTCGTAAACCTTTCCCACGCATACACACACACACGTTTATCTGGTCGATGCACATGTATGCATGGCGCTGAACCGGTAAGACCCCAGGCCACAGTCAGCATCTTCCCGTTTCGGTGAGCTACGAGTGGAGGACAGGGGTTCTTGCATGCTTAAGCCCATACATAATAATCCTGTAGGCCGAGAATTGCCCACTATAGTGCTCCGGTCCACGTGGCATCGCATAGGTCATCAATGATGAAGATCGGCGGGTGTCGCCGCTAGCTCGGGGTTCTCCTGACGGAACGCTAGTGACGTCCGGTGCAACTGCTCCTGCTGCACGCACAGTCAAACGAGGATGATATTTGTTGATGAGTATCTGAGAAGTCTCAAAACATACCATCTAAGACTTCCACACCTTTGTCTTGCACTCCGTCCGCTCGACTGCCAGCATGTCGACGCCTACGTCTGGCTCGGGCCCCAGCATGCCGCCCAAGAGGCCGGCAAAGCGGGACACTACAACGATTGCACCGGGGTTCAAGCCTCGCGATCAGGCAATCGACCGAGCCTTACAGCTATCAACGTTTGAGAGCAATTACAGCACGGAAGACTTCATCTCTACTCTCAGCGAGAAATTGATCTCCGAGTCTAAGGCTGATCCAGGGCGTGAGTGATGTACTCAATACCCCGCAACTTTCTGTTCAAGTATCGCAATGATTGGAGGCTGAAGCCGGGAATTGTCATCAATGACCTCTAACTTTGGTGAACCCGATTCCGTGTTATAGCATTCAACCCGAAACCATTCTTGCAAACATTCTCACCTGCACTGGACTCGCTGCTGGCCCTCAGGCAACAAGTAGCGGAGCGTACCAAGAAGATGGAGACTGATGTCCGGCGAGCAGAGCGAGAATACGGAAGGAGATTGAGAGAGCTTGATGGTGGTTTCGAGGTACGTCACCTGGTCGACAATTCACACATGTGTTGATGCTGATCAGCTGAGCAGGCTATCGGGAACTCGTTCAACAACCTCGAGAGCAAAATCACAGATGTAGGCCGTACGGCAGTGAGAATAGGTATGTTATGGCCCCATTCCATCACATCGGTGCGAAATACCGCCGTTTGCTGACTCTTCATGTATGTAGGGGAGCAACTGGAATCACTCCATCAAACAAGGTCTACCGCCCAATCAACATCCCTGCTATTATCATACTATCTGTCATTAGCTCATCAAGTCACCACCGCCGACGGCAGCTCTTCGACGCCCCTTGAGGCGCTTTTCGCTACCCGAACAAGCCGGGATGGACGATCACGGCTCGCTATCATCCTGAGAAGACTTATGGCGGTGGCCAAGGATGTGGCGGATAATGCCTCGACAGCACTGCTCGAGGCAGAAGCTAGCTCGACGCCGAAAGAGCCGAGTGGACCGGATGTGAATGGCAGTCCAGCGGAACCGGTTGTTAGTCAGAAGGCAATCGGGAAGAGGCGGATGGAGAAGGAAAAGGTTGAGAGGGTCAGAGATGAGATTGAGAGGTACTGTGAGAGGTTCGAGAAAGAGGTCCTTAGGCTATTTGACAGGAGTTATAGAAAAGGTGATCCTAGGATGATGGCGGTGAGTCGGTCAATACTTCTCACGAAATC